CGTGGAGTTTCAAGGACGTAGATGAACAGGGATGGTTTGTCTTCACCTGCCTCGGTGTAGCAACCCTGGACTTCCTTGGAGGACTCCCATACAAGAACTAACCAGGGCCGATGCTGCTTAGCTTCCAAGATCTGATGAGATCAGGCTAGCCTGGGCCATCCAGTTCAAGACTTATTTGCTTTACAGGTTTAGTCAGGGGTCATTTTGTAGAAAAAGAGCTAGGGGAACTCATTAGCATAACTCATTAGCATATGCCACACACCCTGACATCACCGGAAGTGTGTCATAAGGCCACACCCCCTGACATCACTGGAAATGTGTCATAAGGCCACACACCCCGCCCCCAACGGTCTCGGCCGCCACCACCAGCCTTGCAGCTCCACTGCCGAGCCCCATGAGGGGCCCGGCGGTGGACCTGCAAGGCTGGCGGGAGTGCAAGGAAGCCCCGCGAAGGCCCTCCCTGGCCCCAGGCAGGCAGGGGTGGGGAGAGGCAGGGAGGCAGCAACTTACCCTTCCTCTTCTCCTGCCTCCTCCTGGCTGAATGAGGGCCGGAAGCGGGGCGGCCGGAAGCAGGGGGCGGGGCTTTGTCATGTGCCCCGCCCCCAGTACCTCACCCGGGGGAACTGCATTCCCCCGCGTTCCCCCCCGAAATGACCTCTGGGTTTAGTTATTTATTTTTAAAGTCTATCATACGTTTATGTTTCTTTTTTTAAAATGCCTGGAGTTGCCATCTATGTATCAAGCCTGTCTTTCCTCCAAGGGCCTCAGGATGTCACATATGAGTTTCCCACCTCATTTCGTCCTCCTAATAGATGAGTGAGGCTGAGAGTGTGTGGCTATGCTGAGTCTTCTTAGCAGAATGGGGGTCTTAACCCAAGACTGCTGGTCCAGTACACTGACCACATCAGCTCCAAACACATTGCTGAGCCCACAGAACTCTGAGATCAACCGGAAATAGTTCTACTTAGAATCCTGCTTAGGCAGATCCAGTGGGGCTTAGTCCCAGTACAGCTCTTTCAGGATTGCATTGCAAACCAATTAAACAAGAGTTAAATCAAAAACCCATTATAAACACAGCGATCCTATTTATTCCATATCACAACAGATGTTAACCACACAGAGAAGGGAAAGTATAAAAAAATGAATCAGCCTACCCACAGAAACAGTTAAGAAAGTTCAAAGGCCTTCCTAAACAACCAAGTCTTGGGCAATGCTCCCTCTAAGCTATGGAGTCTTGTGAGCAAAAATTCTACCTTGCGAGCTACTGGCATTAAAGTTGTGAGCAGGGGATTCGGCTGCTGCATAAATTAGTTTGCTCTGGAGCCATCCTTCCTGAGCTAAGACAAAAATGTGTGAGCCAGAGGCTAAAAAACCGTGAGCTAGCTCACACTAACTCTGCTTAGAGGGAACACCGGTCTTGGGTGCTTATCCAGATGGATGGAATGAGCTGATTTCCTGGAGAAAAGCATTCCACATACATGGGGCCACCACAGAAAAGGCCCTCGCTTACGTCCCAGTTTGTAATGCATCAAACAGAAAAGGGATGCTCAGCAGGCTCCTAGATATTGACCTAAACTCAGACAGATACATAGAAGAATAAATAACGTTTGAGAGAACTTGGCCTTGGAAATAATCTGTATTTCACCTCTACCACCCCAACAGGGGTCAAATAGTAACTCCACTTGGGGCTGTTTGAGATAAGGAAAAGAGCACAAGGGTAAGGATTAAACCCATTCATCCAATGGCACGCCCCTGATCTGAATAGGAGAGTTTGCATTTACTGCTCACCGATTAAAAAAACAACCAAAGACCCATGAATTAAAACAAATCACTTGGCATTGTGTTTTTTTCACCTACAGTTGGGAGATAGCAATGCCGGCCTACCTTGTAGGAGTATCTATAAGGACTATTTAGAAAATGTATGTAAAATACACTTTGAGCATTTGAAATGCACTGTGCCAACCTATTCAGTTTTGTACAGAGCTTTGTTTTAGCAGCTATACAAATAATAATTATTAAATGCTAAGTATTATTGTTAGCCCAGGTTTAAATGTTCATTAATAGCAAAATTTCTTCCTGGAGAAAATCTGTAATATTATAGAAGGCAGTAAAATGCAACAGAATAGATACCATTCAAATCAAATACCATACCAAATCAAATATCTTTGATTTGATAGATAGACAGATAGAGAAATAGACAGATAGACAGATAGATACCATACAAATGGAGTATCAAATCTCTTTGATAAGGGTTGATTTGTGTGTGTGTGTGTGTGTGTGTGTGTGTATAAATCAACCTTTATCACAGAGATTTGATACTCCATTTGTATGGTATCTATTGAGTGCCTTGTATTTAGTGCCTTGCAATATGATTCCTGAATTCAAAATGCAAAGAAAGTCAGAATGAACTCATGTGGTTATTTCACATCAGACAATAGCACTACAGATAAGATTAGAATTTCAACAACCTCCTCAGGAAGCAGGAAACCTCCTCAGGAAACAAAAGAATCTCCTCAGGAAAGCTCCTCCATTAGCATGTCCATCGCCTGGGGAACTCCTACAAGACAATGACTCAGCCCTACCCACCTTCTGGAGTAGATATAAATTTACTGCCTACCATTTTCTTCTCACCTTGACACAGAGAGTATTCCATCTTTCTGTGTTTATACCTTTGAGAATGCCAGTCACAGTTACTGGCGAAATGTCAGGTTCTACAATGCCAAGACCACGGCCACACATCCCGGAAAATCTACAACAACTCATGTGGTTACTATTTATTCCTTCTTTTAACATGCACTGCTTGAAAATCCTTTTACCTTGCCAGCCCTCAGAACAACCCAAAGAGGGAGGTTATCTTGTTCCCATTTTATAGAAGGTAAACTGAGGCTCACATATGCTGACTTTTCCGGGACATACAGGAAGTCCAGTAGTGAGCACAGTGTCAGGCTATGGTCGGGGAAACCCAGTTTTGAGTCCGCACTCTTGCCATGCAAGCTAGCTGGGTGACCTTGGAGGACTTGCACACGCTCAACCTAACATACCTCGCAGGGTGGCTGGGAAGATAAAATAGACGAGAGGAGAATGATAAAAGCTGCTTTGGGTCCCCTCCCGAACAGGGAGAAAGGTGGGGTATAAATTAAGTGAATATGATGTTGCCGTAATAAATGCCTGACTGACTGAATAAAATAAACTACCTCTGATCACAGATCTCTCAGGGCCCAGTAAATCAGACTGTGGGAAGAAGAAGACGAAGAAGACGAAGAAGACGAAGAAGATGAAGACGAAGACGAAGAAGACGAAGAAGACGAAGAAGAGGAGGAGGAGGAGGAGGAGGAGGAGGAGGAGATTGGATTTATACCCTGCCCTTCACTACCCAAAGGTGTCTCAGAGCGGCTTACAAACTCCTTTCCCTTCCCCTCCCCACAACAGACACCCTGTGAGGTAGGTGGGGCTGAGAGAACTCGACAGAAACTGCTCTTTTTCAAGGACAGCTGTGCCAGAGTTATGGCTTGCCCAAGGTCATCCAACCAGGTGAAAGTGGAGGAGTGGGGAATCAAACCCTGTTCTCCCAGATTAGAGTCCGCGCACTTAACCACTACACCAAACTGGATCAGGGAAGTCTACACAGAGATACACCGTGGCTTAGTGGTACAGCGTAGGCTTTAGAAGGGCCCAGGTTCAATCCCTGGCATCTCCAGTAAAATCTTACGCAGCAGATGTTAAGAAAGACCTTCTTCTGCCTCAAATCCTGAAGAGGCACTGCCAGTCAGCATAGACAGCACAACAGCAGATGGACCCATATTTTGAATCAGTATAAGGCAGCTTCATATGTTTACCTGTTCAGACTAACACCTCAATGATACACATATTAATTATCCATGAATCCCATTGCGGAGAGCGGAATATAAATGTCATCTAATGGGAATGGAGGAGAGGGATAAACGATGTGATCCCAGCCCTGAGTTTCAAAGGTCTCCACCTGAGTGAAGTAGGAACAGTATCCACACCTGGGCAGAGTGTACTTCCCTCCCCATCACGACCCACTCCCAAACGCATGGGATTAAGAAGCAATGTTTTCAAGGCAGAGGACGCCATTTGAGACCCAGCACCTTTTAGGCATCCCTGACTTGCACAGTCCAGGCTAGCCCAATCTAGTCAGATCTCGGAACCTAAGCAGAGTCCAACTTGGCAAGTATTTGGATGGCAGACCTCCAAGGAATGCCAGGGTCAGTGTTCCCTCCAAGCTGAGTTAGTGTGAGCTAGCTCATGGTTTTTTAGCCCCCGGCTCACACCTTTTTGTCCTAGCTCAAGAAGGATGGCTCCAGAGCAGACTAATTTATGCAGCAGCCAAATCGCTCGCTCACAACTTTAATGCCAGCAGCTCACAAAGTAGAATTGTTGCTCACAAGACTCCACAGCTTAGAGGGAACCCTCCTGGGGTTCTTGCCTCCTGTTTAACGATGCAGAGGCAGGCAATGGCGAACCACCGCTGAAGGTCTCTTGCCTTGAAAACCCTACGGGGTCATCACAAGTCAGCTGTAACTTGATGGCACCAACAACAACAACAACAAACCTTTTAGGCACAGATCTGTGAGTCAGAGACTGCACTTATCGAAGTAAACCTATCCCAAGAACACTTCCCAAAAAACCTACCCAGAGCTACCACTCTCTTCCTTCAAACATAACATCAACCCTCGAAGCCTGAACCCCCGACTCTCCCCAAAGGGAAACCCCCAAGTCCAATTTCACATAAATTTCACATTTGCTCACATTAACGTCTATCTTTCTCTTTCTTCCACCCCTTCTGTTGTTCTCCCTCGTCTAAGATCTATGGGGCAAGGACTTCTCTCTCTCTCTCTCTCCCTCTTCTATTGCTCCACAAAACATTCCCGTGTACTGTGATGATCCATAAAACCTAAACAACAGTAGAAATGGTGCCATTGTCTTAAAGCTACCCTGCCATGAAGGGCAGCACCCGACTGTTGCTGAATATTCCATACCTGGTAGTATGAGGATGTCCACCAGTGGCTTGCAGTGGTAGAGCCCGGTAGCCATGACACAGTCTGCCCACAGCCCCTTGGATCCCAGCTCATCCATCTTCCTGCAGGTGGTGATGGTGTAGCCACATGTCACGACCCAGTCGTTGGTGGAGGTGGCCACGATCAAGCTGATCCAGCCCACGAAACTCGCCACAAATCCAGTAAGGTGCAAGCAGGTAGCAACCATCTTTCTCCCTCAACTGGAAGGCCAGGTAGCCCAAAAGGGGGGGGGAGGAGACTGAAGAGGAGGAGGAGGAGGCTGAGAAAAACTTTTAAAACGCTTTGCTGATGAAACAGCAAAGGCTGCCTTTGAGCTGCAAGCAGAGGGGACTGGAGTCAGATGTGCTGATGTCCCGGGTGGTACAGACATGCCTCTCACCAGTTTGTTCAGCCTCTGGGAGGAGCCCAGTCCCACACAGATCGACGGGAGGTATAAGAGAGAGTGCCAAGTTTTGCTTGGTTTAAAAAAAAAAAAAAAGGCACAGAAACACAATCCTCCAGCTAAACAATGAGAGACGTTAGTCTATGGGAGTGAAAAGGCGGAGGGGATGAAACAAAAATCGGCAGCTGCCAGCTCATTCCTTTCTGGTTCCGTGGCAAAGGCTGTCTTCTAAACGGTAAACTCAACAGGTTAACTTTGCAACTGCAGCTGCGGCAGATGTTAGCCCTGTTGTGGGACTGAAGGCAGTATTTAATGGCTCAAAAAGAAAGGAGGCAGAGCCAGCCTAAAAGCTATCAGAACTCCCAGAGAAGCTTAATCTCAGCCGCTAGATTCAAGTTCAGCAGCACCTTAGAGGCCAACAAGATTTTTGGAGAGTAAGTTTTCAAGGGTCAAGGCTCCCTTCTGATCGAGCTTTTGACTCTCAAAAGCTTATCCCCCCCCCAAAAAAAAATCTTGTCAGTTTCTAAGGTGCTGCTGGACTCAAAACTAGCTGCTCTACTGCAGACTAACATGGCTATCCTCTGAAATGAATCTCAGCAGTGTAGAAGGACAAAATTTAGTTATTCCAAGTTTCTTTCTGGCACTGAATACATTTATACACTACTTTTCTGTCAAGATGGGGAAGGTGGTTCTCCAATTTAAAATCCGAAAATGAAAAACAAGCCAGGGGGTGTGTGTGTGAATGTTTCACGCCACTGATTGTCTTCTCAGGCATGGATGATACGGACTCCCTGGCCTAAGTACTTTGACCATAACAGAACTCTGGGGCCACCACAGAAAAGACCCCGCTCCTGATAGATTCCTGCCAAGACAACAGAACCCGGGACACAGCCTCATTGACATATGCTAAAATAAAATAGAAGGTGATGGAGTGCATCTCACAGGAAAGACCCAATGCCATGATTTGTTAAGAGAAAGAGAAAAGAAATAGTAGTGGGTTAAGGAGCATATTCCACTGAGCCACTCCTCTGTGAGACAGTGGGAGAGCAAAGGGGCAACTATTGGTAGAAATCCTAGCAGTGAGAGTTCTCTTATCAAGAACTCTCGCTCGCAGAGGGGTTGAGTACGAGGTACATGTCACATGGGGACAGGGACTACGCTGGTCCTTGTAACCGAAAGACAACCAGCAGGATCACACAGGGTGACGCACCCCAAAAGAGCAAATCTTATGCATCACTGTTCTATGAAAGATACTACCTCTCTCTCTTACTGTATCCACACTCCCATTTCTATGGTTATAGCAGAAAAGTTAGCATTTGGGTATTTGTCCCTTGTAGGACAAAGAATTTTACATCCCTGACACCATTCATTTCCAGATTGGAGAACTGAGCGCAGGCGTCGTATAGCAGGTTAGAATGCTGGGCTGAGAAGATCTGGGCTCATATCCCTGCCCTGCCATGAAGCTGACCCCGAATCACTGACACACTCTCTCAGTCTAGTTCATTAATTCACAGAAGATGAAGCGGAGGAGTGCCTCACCCTGAGCTCCTTGCAGAAACAGAAGAATCCAAGTGTAACCAAAGAAGGCTAAGTTCAGATGGATGGCCCAGGTTAGCCCAATCTCATCAGATCTTGGAAGATAAGTAGCATTGGTCCTGGTCCGGGGTCATTTCGTAGAAAAAGAGGTGCAGGAGCTCATTAGCATAACTTATTTGCATGACTTATTTGCATATGCCACACCCCCTGACATCACCGGAAGTGTGTCAGAAGGCAACACCCACTACTCAGGCTCCACTGGACTGTTTTGGATTGCTAGCTATTGGGGGGGACGTGCAGATCTGTCCTCACAGCGGAGGGAGAGCTTGTACCTGAAGGCAGGCTGGGGGGGGGGGCTCTGCAACTTACTTGGCTGCTTCTTGCTCCTCGTGGCCCAACTGAGGGCTGCTGGGAGCAGGGGGCAGGGCTTGTTGCATATGCCTGCCCCCTGGGCTCCTTACTGCTGGAGCACCGCTCCTGTGCGCTCCCGCAGGAAATGACCCCTGATTTGGTGTAGTGGTTAAGTGCGCTGACTCTAATCTGGGAGAACCGGGTTTGATTCCCCACTCCTCCACTTGCACCTGCTGATGTGACCTTGGGTCAGTCACAAGCTCTCGCACAGCTGTCCTTGAAAAAGAGCAGTTTGTGTCAGAGTTCTCTCAGCCCCACCCACCTCACAGGGTGTCTGTTGTGGGGAGGGGAAGGGAAAGGAGTTTGTAAGCCGCTCTGAGACTCCAAGTGAAGGGCGGGGTATAAATCCAAACACTTCTCTTCTTCTTCTTCTTCTGGTCAGTATTTGGATGAGAGGCCACCAAGGAAGTCCAGGGTCGCTAATGCAGAGGCAGGAAGCTGCGACTTAATGGCTATTTCCACCACAGTTTAAGTGTAAACCCTGCCATGGAGAGTAGCCTGGTCATTCCTGGGGATGTGACATCTCCCGATTTATTATTTATTTATATCCTGCCTCAAGTGGTTAAGATGCTGAACTGCAGACTGGAAGGTCGGTAGTTCAGCAGTTTGAGACCTGAGTGCCACATGATGGAATGAGCTCCCGTCTCTGGTCCCAGCTCCTGCCAACCTAGCAGTTCGAAAGCAAGAAATTGCAAGTAGATAAATAGGTACCACTTCGGTGGGACGGTAACAGCGTTCTGCGCACCTCGGCATCTAATCATGCCGGCCACATGACCATGGAAACGTCTTTGGACAGTGCTGGCTCTTCAACTTGGAAACGGAGATGAGCACTGCATCCATAGAGTCGGATTCGACTGGCTTTTGAGCAAGGGAAACCTTTACCTTACCTTTACCATTCTTCCTAATGGAAACACAAAGCAGCTTACATCATTCTCCTCTCCTCCATTTTATTCTCACAACAACCCTATGAGGTAGGTCAGGCTGAGAGAGTGTGACTGGCCCAAGGTAAGCCAGCAAACTTCCATGGCATCAGAAGAGATTCGAACTTGGGTCTCCCAGATCCTAATCCACCACTCTTAACGACTACATCATGCTGGCTCTCACGGATGTCGCAACTGCTTCAGAGGCCGTGGTTTTTATGAGTACCGTAGCAAGAAAATACATCCATAACAGGTACTGAGCAGTCGTTTCCAGATGTTCTGATCCAGGCTTGGCTATCTCCTGCTGGCTGCATCCCTCATGAATGACTGGGCTGTTCTGCACAGAGGACCTCCCTCCTGACAGAATCATCAGCTATAACCAGCCCTTAGAAAACTGGTGCAAAGAATCTCACAGGGGTTCAGCTTTCAGTTGAGCTGGCTCTCTCCCAGTTCCTACATTTCCACATTCGAGTCCAAATTCAACATTCTGGCACTTAGAGCAGGCTATTATGCATTGATAGCCCAGGTTAGCCCGATCTCAGAAGCGAAGCAGGGTCAGCCCTGTTCAGTGTTTGGATGGGAGCCCACCAAGAAATACCAAGGTCGCTATGCTGAGGTCAGCCATGGCAAACCACCTCTGAACTTCTCCTGCCTTGGAAAAAACCCTTTGGGGTTGCCAACGTATGGCTATGGCTTGACAGCAAAAAAAAATTATACATTGAAGACCCCCCCCATGCCACTCAAAAGAGCATTGGAGGTGTGCTTGTGTGTGTATATTTGAATAAAAACTATAACCTCACACTACTGAACTCTCCAAATGCTGCCACCCATAGTGGGTAAGCAACACATTTAGCTTTGGGATTGAAATTCAAAATCCCCAGCATGACTTCTTAAAAATTCATGTTATTTTAATGTGTCTGGTTCACACTTACTTTGGTTTTTAAAACTGCAGGAACAAGACACTGGGCCTTAATGTCAAACACAGAAAGTAAGCCTCTCTCTGTGTCCAGTTGCCTGTATGACAAAGAAACGGAACAGTATCTAGATCAAAAGTCTAATAGTTTTGTGTTTTTTTAAAAAAACATATTGAAGTTTGGGTTTCTTTCAGCATTATAAAGCATGCCTGCAGTGACCACTAGTGGAATTGTCTTAGCACTGCACTCCAGAGGTACCACTAAAGGCTTAAAGCTGCATGACTCCTGAGAGCAATTTCAGTGCCTGCCCATACGTAGAGAGAGTTCACACAACCTAGGGTTGGAGTTGCAGCCTAGAGTGGGTAGTCTAGAAAAAGGAGGAGGAGGAGGAGGAGGAGGAGGAGGGAGATTGGATTTATACCCAATTATACTTTACTCGGAGTCTCAGAGCGGCTTACAATTTCCTTTCCCTTCCCCTCCCCACAACAGACACCATGTGAGGTAGGTGGGGCTGAGAGAGCTCTTTTATTTAAGAGCTGCTCATGAGAGAACAGCTCTGAGAGAACTTGTGACTGACCCAAGGTCACAGCAGCAGCTGCATGTGGAGGAGTGGGGAATCAAACCCAGTTCTCCCAGATTAGAGTCCGCGCTCCTAACGACTACACCAAACTGGCTCTCAGGGACCACAGTGGGGTATAATGCCATTAGTATCCACCCTCCTGAGCAGCCATTTTCCCCTGGGAACCTGATCTCTGTAGTCTGGATATCCACTGTAATTCTGGGAGATCTCCAGGCCCTGCCTGGAGGTTAGCAACCCTATGTGTGAACTGATTCCCCTGAGGAGCACTGTGCTTGGGACCCCATTGAGGAGAAAGGCAATCTAGAAACAAAGTACATGTTACAAATGTTGCATCTTGGATACATGATCTGTGATGGCTCGTTCACACACATACATGAAATGCTGCAGCCCTCGAGCAATGGGTGGGAAATGCAAGTATGAATCAGCATCTTGAGGGTAGCTATCCTCAGCATGATGACCAAATGGTGCCTTGTGATGTGTTCCACTTTATTATTCATTTCCTTTATCGACACACCTTTCTCCCCAATAGGAGGACCCCGAACGGCTTCTATCGT